GATTCATGACAGCACAAAACACCTAAACTAATAAAAGCAAACGTATCTGCAACCTGAGATGACAAAAACCAATCCCTTAAAAAAATAATATTAATCTTGACCTAAAAAACGATACCACTGTAAATTAAGGCTCACCTTGCATGGGCGTCCCTTGATCATAACATGTTCATTTTTGCGAAGCGCAGAGCATTGTTTAGGATAAGTTGCTGCTGCTCCGGCATCGCCAGTGTGGAAGTCATGATCATGCTCTTGCTCCGCCATTTTTGGGCTTGATAAGCTAGAATACCACCCATACAAGCACCAATAATAACGGAAAAAAATAATGAACAACTCTTCAGTGCTTTGACTGCGCAATTGGCACCCGTATAACAATCGGAGAAATAATGATTAGCGACATTAACAACAACAACAACAAGACTTAGACAACCGAATACTGACAATAAGAAATGTCAGTTTCCCGACCACAACATTATGAGCATCAGATCTCTTGTTGCAAACTATAAAGAATAATATATAGCACTTAAACCAATTTACAAAAAACAATCTTCGCCACGCTCTATGCATATACTGTTCATATGACTAACTACCTGAGCTCCTAGTTGTTTTTCAGAACCTATTACTCACTCAAGCTTGACCTTTTCACCGAAAGAGGCTGCCAATCCCTTTAAAACTCGTGAAAAAATTTTACAGCCTGCTCATTCGCTACAAATGAAAACCCACGTGCATCCCCCAAGTTTGAAAGTAGTAAAAAATAATTCCTTCCGTAGCAAAAGAGTGGCGACGTTTCAAGTAATCAACTTTATTTTTCCCAAAGAAACAGCACCAAAATCTCTGCGCATTCGCATAAATCACCTAATCTACAAATATGCTAAGGGAGATATGATACAGCAAATCATATAGTGCATAATTGCTTTTACCATTCAGGGAAAACTAAATCTGAAACGACAGGAAACCTTTGAGTATATCATATTACAAAACCACTCAAACCAATCGGCACTTTTTTATGAAATTTACGAATAAAAATGCAATTAAAAACAACCAAACAGTCAATGCAATAAACAAAAAACGATCTCCTACTTTTTATTTAATGTATACAAAACGCTGATAAGTGCTAAGAAGTTATACTGTGATTGGACTGGTTGACCGTACAACAACACTAGTGCGAATGCAGCTCCTTTAGTGAATCCCAAGAAACCTTTTTCCACAACACCAAATCACAACAGTCTTTTGCCTTCAAAAAAATACAACAGTCAAAGTATGTATACCCTATATGCAGTTAGCTACCGCAACGGAATCCAACTTTTGAATGGAAGGTTAAGCTACTTAAAGGTACTCCTAATTCGAATCAAAAAAAAAGAAAGTAAAAAAACTAGAAAAAACGGAACTGTAAAAAGCAAAAAAAGAAACAAAAAGTAACACGCATCAAACATTGCAAAAAAAAGAAAAAAAAAATTAAAGGAATTTACAAACTAGGGAGAAAAAAGAACTGTTAACTTCCTCAGCCAACGTGAGAAAAGAAAATTTTTGAAGAGAATAATCACCGAAAACACCAATAAACAGTCAAGAAGGTAAGCGGCCCAGCAACGCAACCATCACTGTTACGATTATCAAAGAAAATGAAAAGCAAATTTAAGTTTTCGCAACACAACAATCCCAACCCTTCGAGCGTACAATCGCTGCAAACAAATTACCAAAATATGCTGCAACACCAATTACACCCGCCCACTTCACTTTGCCTTTTTCTCTTTTCAAGCAAACACCGTCTATCTGTAGACATCTCCCCAAATAAGATTTCAGGAATTTTCTTCCGTTCATTTAAATAAAACTGCTTAAGAAACTTACTACCAGTCGTATGCGCCGAAAACACACAAGTATTTTCAATCAACTCCTTCCTCACAAACCACTGTAACTATTCATCATCTCTTTATTCACTCATCCAATCTATTTTACTTATCACTAGTGCTGCAAAAGTTTAATTTTTAAAGCGTGAAGAAAAAATTATTACTCGAAACCTCACTGCCAAAAAAAATTGATAATAATGATTTTTAAATAACTTACTAACAAAATTCTGCAAATCATCACATTCGCACCTAATTCGAAACTAAATAGCAAATTAGAAAAATATATAACTGAATAGCAAATTTAAAAAATATACACTTTTTCCTTATATATATAGATAGATAAAAAGCACAAAAGAAACCCCCTCTTTCACTAGTCAAACTCACCCTCC